CCAAAAAATTGATAAAACCCCCCCCCCCCCCCCCAAGTTTGTTCACAAATCACACCCTAGATAGATAGATGGAATCATATTTGTTGTAACGCTTAGTATTAGGTAGAGTTTTGTATTTTTACATATGCAGTAGAGTTTTGTATTTTTATATATGCTGTAGAGTTTCATCCTCAGAGGATTATGTAAAATATTACATTTAACAATCCTCTGAGGATGAAGCTGTACTGTATATGTAAAATACAAAACGCCACCTAATACTAACTGAAGAGACTTCACGCCTTGCTGATCAGCAGTTGCAGTCCTTGCCATTTGTTATATAGTAAAGGCTTTTAGATTTCTTCGAGTTTCTCCTCACCTGATAGTTCTGCACCACCTTCCTCAGCCTTTTTCCCAGCATGCTACTTGACATCTCTTCATTCCAGACCTCTCCGAGTGCTCCATTAGGCCCAAAAACAACAGCATCCCCATTTGCGGCACCCGCATCTCCTCTCCGTCGGCCTCCAAAAATAGTCTCTAAAGCACGTCTCAGTGGTTGTGATAAAAGCCAGTAAAATAGCCCACGCTCTCTTCGTTTGCCCCTGAGGTTGCGGTCCTTAGTACCGCTCTCCATTGAGTAGTTAGAAGACGACAGGATGGGAATAGGCTTTTGAGGATCTCCAGGAATAACACCTGGGAGCTTTTGAGGGTCAGTATACATGGGTTTCGACCCTCCTGTTCCCCGCAATACCTTCAATAGATCAATGTCACTTTTAGTAAGGATGCAGTTTACATTTGACTACATAGAGTCTTGCAGGAATTAAGTCATTTTGTAGGCCAACCCAGAAGTTAGCGTCACACATGGTTCCCTTGATAAAAGCCAATAGGATTTTTCCAGTGTCTTTTGGATTATACTCTTAAAAAATAAAGGTGCTTCACAATGCCATAAAATAACCTTTTTTGTCTAAATGGTTCCATAAAGAACCTTTAACATCTGAAGAACCTTTCTATTTCACAAAAGGTCCTTTGTGTTAGAAGGTTCTTCAGATTATAAAAAGGTAAGAAAGATGGTTCTTTAAAGAACCTTTGACAATAGTTCTTTGTGGATCGCTGTGAAGAACCTTTTAAGCACCTTTATTTTTAAGAGGTTACAGCAGAAAATAAGCTCTGTGACCAACAAAAGTTTGATTCTTACATGTTTGTTCATCAAGATAATTGAAGCAAATGAACAGTGTTTATCAATCACCAAGAGTAAAAATCTTACGGTAGGCAATAAACAAACTGCAAAAGTTGAGCTTGTCTTAATCACAGACCTTATCTTAAGCATTTAACCAAAAACCTATTCAAAAAAACCCATTGAACTTTGGACAATGGAACCAGATGAGCTGAAAACCTCATTTCCAGGCTTTAGGACTCATTCCTGCTTCACGCTAATGTTCAGATTCAGTGGAGCAGAAGGCTGTGTGAGTTAAGGAATCTCCTTGAAGTACCTTAACAATTGTGTGCGTTCTTGGCTGAGCTCGAGTTCTCGCCTTCACCCCGAAAATGGCATCTGTGACGGGTATGCTGTTTTCAGCGCAAAAGGTGTACAGGAGAGCCATAGTCATACAGAACAGTGCCATGCACAGGGCCCCTCGTCGGGCCCGGCGCCTCAACCGCCAAAGTTGGCTAACACGATCCATGGCAGGCCCTGGGATCTGGATAATGAATCACAGACAATGAGTACATTTACATGGACAACAATACTCCGATTTTAATACGATTAAGACAATACTCCGATTAAGAATCTACCATGTAAACACCGGCTAATGTCATAATCGAAGTAAACAGAAATAGAATTAAGACATGTGGAGTATTCCTATTTTAGTCGCATTACTGAAGTGCAGTATAGACATGTAAACACCTTAATCACATTATTACCGTCGTGTAGGACTTTTCGCCGCATTTTGCGACAGGATACACACACGGCAAATAAAAGAGCTTCAACACCGGCCGGCATCTGTATGCAAATAATTAACTGCACTTGAAGCTTTCATAAAATTTAAAATGAAACACCCAAAACTGTACATGGCATCATCATGAAGACGAACTATATGTTTATACTTGAAATTCCGGAGGAGGACGTAATGACGTGTGCCATTAATCAAACTATGTACTATAACATGTAAAACCGGAACATGAAAGGAATATTCTAAAAGCAACTCATGTAAACACCATAATCATAATATTGGCTTATTTAGAATAAGGTAAATAATTAGATTACTGATTAGATTTCTGATGTAAACGTAGTCAATATTAGCAAATGAAAGGATGTCTTCTGCAAAAGGAGTTGGCAGACACATAGAAGCATATGCATGGATTCAGCTGAACGAAAACTGTAGAAAATAGTTTGAAACAGTCAAATATTTACTTTGAAGTCCTGGTCAGCTCAGGTTAGTAATTAAATTAGTGTGAAGGAAAAAGCATGTTCAATAAACTAGAGAATTTCTAATTGTAGTGGATTATATTGTAGCCTCCTTTTGATGTGATTTTATAATATGTCAAACTGTTGGGTTAAATATGTAAAATGCTTCGGTTGCCCTACATTTAAGCTAACTGAGTTCAGTAATGCAGTTCAGCTTGACATCTCTAGATTTCAAGCAGCCAAGACCTTAAAGGGAGCAGACAAATTAGCTTCATAAATGGTGGTAGTTCCAGTGGGGTTGGCCTAAAAAATTATAATTGAATAATTTGAATAATTATTTCCTGAATAAAGGGAACATTAAAAAGTAGTTACACAGAACACTAGTTTTTATGACAGTAACCAAAACTTATATATAAACATGGTGTGAATAGGGCTTATCAATTAATACCTGGAATATTCAGCTCAGTGCAAAAATGGTAGTCCACAGCATTCAAAGTAGGATTTAAAATGTAAGAAGTCTATGAAATCATGGCTTTCAACCTTTAAAAATTAAAACCACTACAAAACAACTAAGCAGCTTTCATTAGCCTTATTAGGTGTAGCTAATTAATATCATGTGACAGTATCACATGACATAATGATGCCATCACATGACAAAAACACCAGATTCAAAGTCAAGGAAAGGTTAAATATATAATGAAATCCGTTCAGTTTACAGTTGTTGGTTTTTTAATTGTTTAGACACTAAAAGTGATACTTGAGGCCCACTTAGTGAAATCATTCACCCATATTTCTAATCTTTAGACCAAGTCTGCAAAACTACAAGCACATTACAAGCTTTAAACTCAATTTGCTATTGTAAAACAAACTTTTTGCAAAACTCTAAACAGTTCTTTACACCTCGACTACTAACAACACCTATTTTGTTTCATTTGGGAAACACTACCATTTACAATAAATGTCACACTCATTTACTTACACCCAGTGATCATATGTGAAAAAAACACTTATATATTGTTTGTTCACTTAGAAATTAAAACCAAGTGTTTTGAAAAAAAAGTTTTTTTTTCTATTAAGTACTTTAGAAATAAATTTGACTAAAATTTGTGTCTATATGTATATATATATAGAGAGAGAGAGAGAGAGAGAGATTCACACACACACTGAATATGCATCTGTGTTGTATGCATATTCAGTATACAGTACTGTACATATATCATCTCTATATATAGATATACTGATACACATACAGAATATGCATACAAGCAAAGTCAAAGTCAACTTTATTTCTAAAGTGCTTTATAAAATATAGATTGTTTAACAGCGTCACAATAGTATCAAATTAAAATTCTGCTGTAAAACAGCTCTAACCAATAGTCATTATACAGCTCAAGTCAGTTCAGTATTGATTCAGTTCAGTTGCATAACTGTGTAAAATTCATCAGTTTGTAAAACTATAGTTTTACATACTGTATATACAGTGTATTTGTGCATATGCATGTATGTGTGACTGCTCTGACAAACTCCTGTGCTCCACTGCACTCTGAACAAGCAAAAGACACACAAGAGTAGTGTTTTACATTTTTCACATCTGTGTGTAGTTTGGCGTGTATGTGGCTAATTATTTTATGTTTGTGTGTAGAGTTTTGAGAAATGGAGCCATAGTTTCAAAAACTAAGCATTTTCAAAAAAACTGTAATATGTTTGTCTGTCTTTTAATCCAACTGATCTTGATGGTCAAGCAATGAATCGTTGGGTACATTTATAGATAACTATAGATAGAGAAACAAGTTTGCCATTTCTGAAAGGGGTATTCAAGTATAATTATTTCTTGTTAAGCTAATTTATTTTGGATGATCACAACCACGGTGTTCAAAGTGTGTGTGTGTGTGTGTTTATGAAAGCGACAGAGAGAGAATTGAAGAACATGAAACAGGATAGATTACAAGAGAGAGGAAACAGTCAATGATTGTGTAACCTTCAGATGCATCTGAAGAAGGGAGACAGATGACAGGTAACTGTTGCATCAAAAAGAGGCATTTTACATTATGTTAAGAGATACTGTAAACAAAATCTTTACTCTGGTAGAGAATGTCAAGTTACTTTAATTCACCCTTCATCTGAAAAGGTCAACTATACACTCTAAAAATGCTGGGTTAAATGTAACCCAGCGCTGGGTTAAAAAGGGACAAACCCAGCTACACTCTTAAAAATAAAGGTGCTTCAAAAGCTTCTTCACAGCGATGCCATAGAAGAACCATTTTTGGTTCCACAAAGAACCATTCAGTCAAAGGCTCTTTAAAGAACCATCTCTTTCTTACCTTTTTATAATCTGAAGAACCTTCTTTCACCACAAAGGACCTTTAGTGAAACAGAAAGGTTCTTCAGATGTTAAAGGTTATTTATCGAACCCTTTAGACAGAAAGGTTCTTCTATGGCATCGCTGTGAAGAAGCTTTTGAAGCACCTTTATTTTTAAGAGTGTAGCTGGGTTTGTCCCTTTTTAACCCAGCGCTGGGTTATATTTAACCCAGCATTTTTTAGAGTGTAGATTCAGTCATATGGTGAGAACATTTTTTGGCAGCAAACTGTTCATGCACAAAAAAAAATTTCATAACACACTGGATGAATGGTATCACAATCATTATGGATTATAAATTATGTATGTATTCATTATGGTTAGTTACATAAGTGAGTGTATTTTTTAATGTGGCAGCTGTAGCCTGTATTACTGTAACATTTATTCAGGAACAGGTGATTTGAAACATCCATCCTGCATTATTTGACTAAATAGAATTAAACCAAATGTTCTCATATTGTGTTACGATAATCTTGTGTTTTGAAACGATTATGTGGAAAGAAATTATGTGTAACGAAAGTATGATATCAGGTTTTAAAAGAATGATTAGCTGTTACACGTGATTTTGTACTAAGAATTTTGAAAATTGACAATTGGGAAAATAGTACCAATGCAAAAAAAAAAAATATATATATATATATATATATATATATATATATATATATTATAAGAACTAAAATATAAGATATATAATCTAAGATAGACTGATATGTTATCAGCTTAATAGGGAAGAGTTTGCATACTAAAATACTTGTACATGGATTTACAAAAGAACGATTAGTGAATATATTAAACGTTACCCTTTTTATTCAAGAAATGACCTAAACTGTTAGATTTGGATTGTGTTCGTATTGTATCGTGTCCTTAATCAAATAAATACTAATTGGACAACATACAGGCAAAGCTATGGCTACAAACAAACTGTCTATAAATAATAGCTACGCAAATATGCCTATCAGACAATATGGCCTTTATTAGTTTGGATGGGACATGAGAGTGTTCATATAAAAAATAACTATGCACAGGCCTGATTACTGCAACCGCATTCTGTTTTACATAACACGCAGTGTAAATATAGAAAACAGAGGGGGAAATTAGGAACTGAGGAATGTGCGTGTAGGTTAATTCATTTTTTAATGCATGCACCGAACACCTAAAGATAAAACGGCATCAATATTATTTTTGATAACGAATCCCAAAAACGTCTAAATGCATGGAGAAATGATGCTGCGTGGATGAGACAAATATAAAATCCATGCCTACCTTGTATCCCATATTTTTCTGACGCTTTATTCTTGGTTAGTTCAATCAGTTTCCTTCAGTGGCATGTGGTCTTGGCATTTTAGATATTTTATGCACAACGTTACAGATAATCTATATTGTATACTAAAAAGCTATATTGTATAATGCCTTAGTATAATAACCTAAAATCCCGATAAGACTTTTCCCCTTTTTTCCCTTTCGAAGAGATCAACTACGACTTGACATCTATATACAGATGATCATATCGCGATGATGCATGTTGATAAATCGCCATGTTTATATACTGCATAATAATATGGACAGACAGAGCTGGTGCGTTGGTCGTTCGGTCTGATGTCTCTAGCGGAAGAAAGCTGTCTGTGCGGTTGAATCGTGTGCGACTGCCGATGTGAATGCTGCGGTTACTGCAGTCCGGGTTTTTGCCATTATCGCTGATGTTGTTTGAGCTTCTGACTTCGAACCGGCAAACATGCGCACAGAGCATTGTGTGGTAAAATGAATGAATGAAATGCAGAAAAAATGAACTGTAGTGCCTTTAACATGAAATGACCCTTTCTCCGTCTTCATTCCGTGCGGTTAGGCACAATGTAGCATTATTAATCGTTTAGTTAAATACTGTAGTAAATATCAGCCTACGTGTTGTCCGTGTTAAATCGTGATTTGAATGCATATTTAGCAGTTGTGGTGAATTTAGTATCATTCAGGTCATTTTCAACGTCGTTTAGAGTTGCGTGTGTGGGTTCCATAGTGTAGCGGTTATCACGTCTGCTTTACACGCAGAAGGTCCTGGGTTCGAGCCCCAGTGGAACCATGGTTTTTAAACAATAAGTGTGATGCTACTATTTTTTGATGTTATAGGATGCATAAATAGCTTTACTTGCAGAATAGTTTATTTATTCTACTATTCTGCATTCCGTGATGGTGTTAGAGCCATTAATGTCTGTCTCGGTTATTTTAACTGTACAAAAAAACAATCAAGTGGTAGCTGCTGGCTCAGTGATTTGGAAGTCTTACACATTCACATGAAATTACTTTCGTGTGGGAAAATACTGTAAGGTGTTTCCAGTGTTTTGTAACATGGGGCCCCTGAAGTTATTCCAGAGGGGCTGTGGAAGCATTAAACATACAGAACTAATATCTACTAACCATTTTAACTAATGATTTGATTAGCACATGTTATTCTTAAATAAAGTGATTATACATTTGTTAGGTCAACTCCTGCATTAAGATCCTATGATTGGTATAAAATACCATTCTCTTGGATTTTCTGCTGTTTTTTTGGTGACGTAAAAAAAAAAAGTTGTGTATCCAGCTGATATATGAAGTTTTGTGTTTGCTAGAGTTACTTGTGATAATTTTGGATGCAGTTATGGGATCACCGTTGGTTGAAAAGTATATCTTTTGTCAAATGAAACCTTATTGTAGTTTCAGTTGAAGTTTATAATGGTCAAAAAGAGCTAAATTGCCGGCTAGTATTTAAATGAAAATATTATTAAAGTGTATGATCTTATTGTAGTCTCCAGCGGGGGAAAAAAACTACCTGATAATGAATTTATTGCTGAAAAAGTGGAGATGCCGGGGATTGAACCCGGGACCTCATACATGCGAAGCATGCGCTCTACCACTGAGCTACATCCCCACGTGACGCAGGAGCACGTGAATTCAACCTAAATGTACCCAACCGTTAGATTGGTTTTCGAAATGCAGCATAGACGCGCAAAATTGATTTTTTGCCGGGAAACCTATTAGACTAAAACCTTTTACAGTTAGATAACTTAAAGTTTTCTGAAATTAACGTTGCTAATGTTGAAAATGACAATACAAAGTGTTTTCTTTCTGAACGTGGGAACAGGGTTGCCGTGACACACGCCACCCATAAGGTTATAAGAAATGCTCTTTGTTCTGTCTCTTTCCCGCCTGCAAGGCTCGTCTGGTCTCCTCTGTTTGGTAATATATTGGGACAAAGCTCAAAAAATACCTAATAAGTTTTGTATCAATAACAGAAGTGTCTTACAAAATAAGTAGAAAGATGTAATCTAAACATTTCATTTGGGGACAAGAAAAAAAAACCTACTTTGTATTTGTTTTATCATTGTATCTACTCAAGATTATTTTGGAATGATTTAGAAATTTATATTAATAGAAAACTGGGATGTGCAATAGAGATTGATGTGCTTTTTTATTTTCAGAATGGTATGAAAAGTAAAGAACAACATTATTCAGTTATTTATTTTACCAGGAAAGTATCTTATAGACTCTTTCTAAACATAACTTTTCACATTTTATAAGCGACTTTAAAGTATATGATCAAAAATCAAAATGACAGAACAACCTACAATTTCCTCAATTTCGAGGTAACTGTGTAGTCCTATTTGAAGTTATCCTAACAGGAGTAAAAAGCTCAGTTTTTAGGCATATTTCATGAGATAAATATATTTTGAAGCACAGTATAAAAAACTTAAATGAGAAATTGGAAAAAGAACACTGATAGCAATAGCAGCCATTGCAAGAGAAGTTGGCTGTTCCAAATCTGTGGTTTCTAGAATATTGCATCTTTGTATGTCACTAATTCATTCGAGTCCCCCAAAAAGGCTGGTCGACCATGAAGGACAGGATAATGCGGAGAATCTCAATGGGCAATCAGTTCAACACTGCAGCTGGAATTGCTCATTTAAAAGTTTAATTTATTTGGGTCCAATGGGAAACATGTTTATCGTCAAACTTGGGAAAGACTGAACCCAGAGTGCATAAAGAAGTCAGGGAAAGGTGGAAGAGGAAGTGTCATGGTTTGGGGGATGTTTCTGCAGCAGGAGTTGGGCCTCTTATATAGCTACATAGAAGAGTGAATGTAGGCCTAAATATTTATCAGATCCTCCTGCGGCAACATGCGGTTCCTGTGAATGACATTTATGTACGAAGTTATGGAGCGATTGACGAAGAAAATAAATCACAGAGAAAATATTGACTGATATATTAATTTATTTTTTGGGGGGGGGGTATAATAAATATTTTAGAATAAATATTTTAAGTAAATATTTTTAAAGAGGATTTTACAGTACTATATTTAATATCTTATCATCTATAATACCTTAGTGTAAGCACTAGATGGCTGTACAGCCTTATATTTGAATATATAAATAGGCTGTGTATTCCGTACGTTGTGGATTTGTGGAACATTGTTTTCAAACATAATTGTATTAGATTATGCATTTTCCAAGTACCTTTAGTCAGTGTTGGATCGGGACAGAGTGGACTTTAATTGGCGGTGCGTTTAAAAGATGGAGTAATTTGTTTGGGTTTGGGTTTCAAACAACACATACTTGCGGAATCTTTTCTGGGGTGTATTCCAGAAAGTGGGTTTTGTTGGAAACTCAGAGTTTGTTAACCCCAGAAAAGGGAAATGCCACCTAAATGTTCACGCAAAAAAGAAGGCGTAACTTTTATTCTCGCTGTAGTATTGTTGTTGTCGCCGCCGCCATGTCGTGAAGGCGCTGTGTGTTTCGTTGTAAAAGCAAAACTACTTTGTTTGGTCTTCCAAAAGAGGACGATATCTGCTTCGTCATGCCTGGAGCTGATCCGTGCTGGTCACTGAGGAAATATATTAACTTCGTTCTGTGGATCGCCGGATCAGCTTTCACCGTGGACGAAGCGGAGTCCAGCCCGGGGGCGTCACATGTGGTTACCGCAAGCCCGCCGGCTGCTCCTTCGTCGAATCCGCCGGCCGCATCGTTCTTAAGCCTGCCCGCCTCCGCTCACACAAGCTGGCCTCCGCTCACTCAAGGCCGCCGTGTGTGACGCTGTGTTTCGTTGTGAAAGTGAAACTACTTTGTTTGGCCTTCCAAAAGAGGACACGACTAGAAAATTAAGTTGTATTTACAACACTGTTCCAGAACAGTTCAACCCAAATATTCAGATGTGTGCAGCGCATTTTATGGAGGACTGTTTCCTGATCCTGGGAGAGTAGACTACAATGCCGGCTGTTCTGACTCACAGACTGTAAGTACTTTTTTATATTTTAAGGATTTGCCATTGATGATTCAAACTTGAGTTTTGGGCAGTGTAGAGTAGCACTTGTTGTTTGTCATTTCTCCGATCACAAATGCAGACACGATTTTATGTTTACGCGGCGTGATGCAACACGTATAAAGACAGTATAAGTCATTATAATCTGTAATTATGTCCCCACTGGATGCAACAAATGCCTCGTTTATAATGGGTTTTAATGTTTTTGTCTCGTTGGTCCGGCCGGACACGGCATCACAGTATGGTATGGGGCGTAACATTTCCGTCACACACTTGAGGTATTCGGCCAATCACAATGCACTGGATAGCTGGCCAATCAGAGCACACCTCGCTTTTCAGAACAATGAGCTTTGTAAAAATCAATGTGTTTCAGAAAGGCGGGGCATAGAGGAGAAACAATAATGTACAGTATGTGGAAAATAATGTGTTTTTTAACCTTAATCCGCATAAACACATTTCATTACACCAAATACACAAAATAATGTTCTTTTTAGCAACATCATATGCCCTCTTTAAATATCTCATTCATTCATTCACGCAGCAAAAATTGCTTTTATTGCTGAGATTTTTGCCTTATTTCAAGTACAAATATCTAAAAATTCTTAAATCATAATACATTTTTTATATAAGAAAATATATATACAATATTTAGTCTTGTTTCCTGGGGTAAACAAGTCAAATTAATTGCCAGCGGAGTAAGAAAAATAATCTTAATAAAAAAGAAAACAAGATTATTTTTCTCACCGGACCACTTTCATTTTCATCATGAAGACACGGTATATTTTTATAAGGGATCCTGTAGATGAGGAGGCTGCATTAATTTGCGGGGAGTTACACTTACATCAGGAGAGGATTTAATTTACTTTGATTTAATAGATTTAATTTGCTATATCCACATGCATATTTATTTGAACGGTACCATTTTTA